AAAGTGAACATGTTGCATTGTTTTTTGTTGCATTGAGATTTAATTTCTTTTGATAGTATTTTTGAATACTATGCGTCTCTATACATAATTTAAATCACTTTTCCTGTTAAGTTTGTGTACTTACATACATTAAAATACGATTTTTCAAGTGTACGAATATTTATTTCCCCCCATTGTATGTTATGCATAATATTAGTGCAATGTAGCGAGATCCGCTACACATTCGCAGCACGGCAGTGGCTCCGTCAGGTACCCTAAAAGAACCGATTGAAGTTTACTAAGGTTTACAGTTTACACTGTACGCAATTAGATAACCAGTTATTCACCACCTCACCCCCCCTTCTTCTTTTTCTTCATTCATTTTACACTTTTTTCCTTTATAATACACACATCTCACAACAATGAAGACTTTTCCAATCCTGCAGAGCTCCGTGTAGATTTCAGACGGGCAAAATTCAAGTTGAAGATTGTCAACAAATTTTTGAGTCATTTTCTTAGTGCATGATCAAGCCATGCCCATGAGAGAATTCAAATTAGGCTAATTCAAAAATATATTACTTTGCAGCTATAAAACTCAGTATGAGGGCTAGGCCACAATTTTCTGCATAGAATGAATAGATAAATTAAGAATAACGTGGAATAACTCAACAATGTCACCTCTGCACTATTTTTTTACATGACGCAATTGCCGGCCATCTTGGCTAGTAGGCTAGTAGGACGTTGTGGAACACAGTGTGCCGGTAGCAGCCGGTGAAACGTTTCTCACATATATTGACTAAAAAACTTAATAAAAACAATTCGTTGTGAATAATAGATCACTGAGAGTCTTAATTTATGATCAAGCAGTAAATTTTCACTGAGATTGATACTATTCATAACGTTTTTAGCAGTGCACAATCGATAAAACACGCGCAATCTCTCGTGTCAGTACGTGCGGCCATTTTCTTTGTTTACGTCTAACGCAGCGACTATGGAGCTGGAAGGATGTCATGAAATTACTTGAAATTTCAGAAAAATGTGTTCATAAGTTGTGAATAATCGAAATAAAACGATAACAGTTCATCAGGAATAATATCAGGTGAGTGAAAAAAAAAATAATTTTATCTCTGTCGGTGACTGAATGACGATTTTAAGTTAAAGCTGATTTTCGATTTATTTTAATAAAATCCTTGTTCAGCCTTCAATGTGTGAGACATGCATGGATAATGAAGTGAGAGGAAATATAATGATTTTTAATTTATTTATTTCGCAAAAATTGGTTCGATTTGTATTTTTAAATGCATGTTTTATACATTACCCTGGACAGGGAAATTTGTGAATCGACGGCAGGGGGGGGGGGTGAAACTATTTCTATAAACATACATTTATAGAAATTCATGAATGAAAAAGTATAGGCAGAAGGTTAATTGGGACATTAAAACGTTCATGAGACATAGGAGCACACTTTTGAACAGTTTTATCGCAATCCGTGTTGATTTGAGGAAGCTGTGGCCATTTTTCTTGGCACAGCTCGGTGCGAGTGCGAATTTAAAATCGGAACTAACAATACAAAATGGACAAGGAAAAATCGGCAGACCACAAAAATTCATCGAAAACAAACGTGAGCAGTGCTTAGCTCGTGCAAAGCACAATACGCGTAGAGGCGCGGGGTAAAACCGGGGGGCTTTGCGCCCCCCAAATCAGGGGTTTTCCGTCATTGGCAATGAAGAGACTTATTCGTTAAATCAGAACTTTCCTGAAATTTCTACCGTTTTGCGAATAGCA